ATAAATAAACGTTGAAAAAAAAAATTAAAAAAATAAATAAACAGGGCAGGCCCGCGCCTGCTTCTCAGACACAGTAACGGTGACAGCTCGGTCTGAAGGCAGAGACGGAGGGGGGGGGTGCACTCTCAAAGACCCCGAATCTGCTCTTTTAGGCCCAGAAACATGCCGGACTGCTGCCGCAGAGCACTGACAGCACGGTGGCCACGGTCCCCCGACCCGGGCCTGCAGAAGCCGTCACCTCTTCAGGTAACGTTGTCGCAGTGCTTCGGCCGGGTGGGCCCCAATGCCAGTGGCAGCCTCTTCCTTGCGTGTCCCGGGCAAGTCCAAGTCCAAGCTGCCGGCCCTCCTCTTGGCACAAACATGGTGTTCTAAGCGCCAGGAAGACGACACCACTCCCTGTGACTCAGAGGCCCCACGTGAAGCACGTCACGTCCTTAGCCTCGTGAGGCAGCCAGCTGTAGCCCCATCCTCGGGTGAGGGAGCCAGGCTGAGAGCTTAGGTCTCTCCCCCGACGATGGTCCTGCAACTGGAAAAGGTGAGATGATCCCAGTGTGGGCCCGTCACACTCAAGGGCACGTGCTCACCACGGAAGCCCAGCCCGGGCCAGAAGGCCACATCCCGGCCTACGGCAGCTGGGTCTCGGCCGGTCCGCCTGGCTGGACCAGCTGGTGGGGGGGGCACTTCCCCTGCCTGCCTCTCTGTACCCCATCAGACAGGCGGGCACCTCTGGTGTGTATCCAGCGTGTCTGCGATGCAGCGATGGCCTCGGCCCGAGGCGCAGGGGCCCTCCTGTCCCGGGCTGGTGAGGGGCGCCAGGTCTGGGTATCCACAGCCCAGAGCCCTCACTTATCCGGTGACCTCATCTCCCCCGGGGCCCTGCCGTCGTCAGCGCAGCAGCGAGCTAGCTGACAAACACTCCGGGAGCCTAGAGCGTCACGAGAGACGAAGGTGAGGTCCGACCGTCTGAGCGTTTCAGATGTGCTCCGAAGGCACGTGTGGGAGTGACACGCCATCGCGTGTCATCACAAGGCTCAGACGGGAACGCGCCTCACGTGATCGTACGAGCAGCTTTCTCTCTGCGTCACGCTCGCGTGTTAAGGTGTTTTCCCACATTATTGCACCCAGCGTAGCAAAGGCAGCCAGGCTTCCTGGTTCCAAGGCCACAGCTGTCTCCCAGGCCCCCGGCGCCGCTGACTGCTCCCGTTTGCCTCCGCAGTGGCCACGGGTGCCTCTCCTGGCATCACCCTGACAACGTATTCAAGGCCCGAGAGCCACCTGGACCTCTTCAGGACTCCGGAGGTGGCCCAGGCCCTTCCAGCTCCGGCCAGCAGATTGTCAGCCAGACAGCTGGCCATCCGCCGCGGGGCCGCCCTGGGGATGGCGTCAGGCATGCTGACGGCCGGGCTGGTCGTCCGGGTCCTGACCACCAGACACTAGCCGAGCGGCTCGGAGACGGAAAGGAGGCCAAGGGTGGCCGCGCCCACAGGTCTCCACACCGGTCCCCCTACAACAGCACCCTGGGGATCCAGTGCGGGTGGATGTACACTTTGGACCGCACCTCAAAAACAAAACCTTCAGCCGGCGCCTCGTGTGACGTGACGGTTCTGTCAACCTGGCCTTCTCTGCTCTTTAAGAGGACGTCAGCCGACCGGAGAGGGACAATCCTGGGGCTGCTTCAAATCGGGAGATTTCAAATCAAGACACAATTTAAAAAACCAGTTACCCAATTAAAAGCTACATATTTCCTAGGTGAGTCTGCCGCCCCTCCGTCTGTTCACAAAGCCTTTGAGAAGCTTGGACAAGGGGGCCCATGGGCCCTGCATGGGCAGCCCGGTTCGCCACACCCCCCATGTGCCCTGTGCCCCACGGGCCCCTGCAGATCCAGGCACTGGCAACCCCAAAGGGGCAGGTGGCTGTCCATAGACCCTTCATTCCATCAGCATTGTGCTGATCACAGACCTTGAGAAACCCTTGTTCTTACAGCAGCGATGGGGTAGAAAGAAGCAAGAGGAGCAAAACCAGATCGATCGCTTGGCCGTGTACCCTGGGGGTGAATGCAACGCTGACCCAAATTCCAGGCTGCTTCTCTTTGTGGCCTGGGACTGCCGAATATTTTCAGGCCGCACGCTGTCATCCAAAGTGGAGGCAGTCTGGCCTCCGCTGCCACAGTCCCTTAGGCATCAGTGGCTCCACACACGTTCACAAACAAAATGATCAAAGCCAATTAAAAAAAAAAAAAGTACACACAGGATGTAATCCCTGTTTGAAGAGTCAACATGAATTCATTTTGTTTTCGGTACCTGGTGACAGTCCGGGCCTCCCGCTCACAGGGAGGAAGAAGCTGATACCCTTGTCCGTGACACTGACACCTTAGTGAGCTTCTGGCGACCAAACAAAACGACTGAGGACGGGGCACAGAGAAGCAATGCTGTTGTTTCCCCAAAGGTGCTCTAAGGTTGAAAAAGGATCTCGAGAAAAGGGTTCCACGGTCAAGGAAGTTTGGGAAACGACCCCCACCAAACGCCACACAGGTTCTACAGGACTCGGATCCTTTGAGATGCTAGTGTGCTTTACAAATCCTGACACACAGGATGGGGTGGTGGGATCAGTTTTTGTGTAAAACCTTATGGAATTAGTGTTCCTGGAGTACTCTTACGGAAACACTTGGTTTAGACTGGCAAATGGGGATAGGAGGGCTTAGCTGGAAAAACCCTAAACTCCACAGATGCTTTAAAAAATAAAAACCTGTAAGGGACAGAGAAAGCAGAGCTGGAGAAAATCTTCTTGGCTAAGAATTTCAGGGAGAAAGCAGGACTTAAAGTCGATGAATACCACCTCTGAACAGATGAAGGCAAAAAATGGATTTATCCATTGGGGCAAAATTTCCGGCCAAAGAATGGTCTCTATCGGGACATAAGAGGTTCCCCACTAGGAATCTTAAAATTCATGCCACTTTTATCAAATATGACATATTTATTTTGCAGCAGAACACAGTAGCAGACAAGCCAGTGATTTAGCGTAACTAGAAATCACAGGGCACAATTTAACGTGCTAAACGAAAGCTCCGTATTGAAATTTTGTCTAAGGTATTTCGTGACCGATTATCCTGACATCTTTTTTTTTTTTTAATTTTTTTTTTTAACGTTTATTTATTTTTTGGGGACAGAGAGACAGAGCATGAACGGGGGAGGGGCAGAGAGAGAGGGAGACACAGAATCGGAAACAGGCTCCAGGCTCTGAGCCATCAGCCCAGAGCCCGACGCGGGGCTCGAACTCACGGACCGGGAGATTGTGACCTGGCTGAAGTCGGACGCTTAACCGACTGCGCCACCCAGGCGCCCCAATCCTGACATCTTAAACTAGCCTAGTGATTGACACTGCATCCTGTGATGATAACAGTGAACTTCAGACAGCCTCCCTGGGACAGATTCATTCAAGGCAGCTGGTTACACGTTCTCTAAAGTGAATTACATTCTCTCAC